CGGTGGCGGCGGCGGAGCACCCACCCCGGCCCGGGCCCGGCCCCCGGCCCCCAACCCCAGCCAGCTCCGCCGCCCCCGGCCGGGCCCGCTCCTGGCGCCCACCGCGCCGCTTCGGGGGACTATATTCGCGCGGAGCGGCACAGCGCGGCCGGGCCGGGGCCGCTTACCGGTGTCGCCGCGCGCCTTGCTCTCCTTGGGCTTCGGGGGGCGGCCCCGCGGCATCGTCGGCGGCGGCGGCCCACCCCTCGGCCGCACACACACTCACACACATACACTCGGCGGAGCGCGCACGCGCGGGGACCGGACGCGGGGGCGCGGCGCGCACCCGGCCGAGCGGCGGAGGCGGGCGGAGCGGCTCGAGGGGACGCCGGGTCCCGGCCGAGCGCCCGCGGGCCTCACGGGGGGAAGGCAACCAAGCGAGCGAACGGGAGAGCTCGAACCGCGCCAACTTCGGCGGGTTCCATGGCCCGGCGGGCAGTGTTCGGGGCGTTGGGCGCGGGCGCGCGGTGGGGGCTGGGAGCGGCGCCGTGCGCATGCGCGGTCGGCCGTTCGGGCCTGGGCGGACGGAGGGCGAGCGGCCGCGGTCACCTAGCGGCGGCGCCTCCCGAGGTGTTGGGCAGCCGAAGTCAACGCAGCCGGTAAGGCCGTCGGGAAAGTAAGTAGGAAAGGTGTCCTTGTAACGCGGGCAGAGGTGGTGAGAAGCTTTCCAGGTGGAGTCAGGTAAAAGAAAACCCAGCTACGGGTCCTTCCTGTGCCGCGTGCGTAGTCTGCGTCCTGTGTGTATATATGCTCGTGTAATTCCAGGAAAACTGAGCACTCCATCTCCCCAGGTTGCTTCCGGAAGGCCTCTGAGAGCACCCCTGTGAAAACCACAGGGGCAAAAAGACTGGGAGCCTAAATTTACCCAAAACATCGACCTTGGACTGAGGAGGACCCACCCAGAAGTCACTTCTGTTCCTATCAACTGATGTAATGCATTAAAATTTACAATTTCAAATGTGTCCATCTGTTATTTTTGTTGTTGTTGCCCATACTGACTTAACCCAAAACCCGAACAGGAACATGACGGCAGAGTGTTAGGTGAGGTCAAGCAAAGCCAGAAGAAAGTCTAACATCGTCTTAGTCTCCTCCGAAGAATTAATGCAAAGCCATAAATAATGACCACCAACTACACGCAGGGTATTGTGAGGGAATACAAAGGTTAACAAGACAATCTGTCCCCCCGAAAAACTTGGAACCATGGGGCAAGAAACACAAGACTAGTCAAAAATCCACAGAGAACCTTGAGAAGGACAAGATTAATTGTAGTTAGAAAAGTAAATACAAAAGACCCCTCTCTTAACTGAAACTTAGTAAGTGGCTGGGTGCTAACAGGTGGTAAAGGGTTTTATACGTGGAGGCAACAGGGTAAAGAAGGAAAAACTAAAACGAAGCGTCTTATCTGTCAGGGGTTTTATATACACACATCCAATTCCTGAAAAAACTAAACACGCTCAGGTTATCCAACCTCCTGACATCAGGCAGCCAGTGAATGGCAGATGAGGTTTAGCAATGAGCACTTCCTGTTCTTTAACTTCTTAGTATGTTTTAGTGCCTCACATAAAATACTTCTAATCCGTACAACATTCCTTCAAGGTACTCCTTTAGGAATGAGATTCAGAGAGGTTAAGTAATTTGCTTAAGGCTACATAGCCTGTAAGCAAATCCAAGACGCAAACCAAATCTGTTTACCTGTTAATCCCATGCTCCTAGTTGCATCAAAGCAGTAGTCTACATTAAGTTTAGACAAAATATGACAAGGGCTTCCCTGGTGGCGCAGTGGTTGAGAGTCCGCCTGCCGATGCAGGGGACGCGGGTTCGTGCCCCGGTCCGGGAAGATCCCACATGCCGCGGAGCGGCTGGGCCCGTGAGCCATGGCCACTGAGCCTGCGCGTCTGGAGCCTGTGCTCCGCAACGGGAGAGGCCACAGAGGTGAGAGGCCCGCATAACGCAAAAAAAAAAAAATAGTAAAAAAAATAAAAATGACAGTACTACCATATGCATGTTAGGGCTGGAGTACCTTGTAAGGCTGAGAAAATAGATTGGAGGCAGATAATGATCCTTTGTCATTTATAAATCAATTTGGATGATGGTGATGTGTTTGTGAATGTATACCCTATTTTGTTCTGAAAAGGATTTGAAGCAATTTATATCGGGAAAAACAGGAAATCAGGACAATGGAAAAAACAGAAAAAGTGAGTAAGCACCCAAACTAATAAAATGCTTATAAAAGGCAAATAGAAAATCAAACTCCAGGTTTCTTAGCCCAAACAGAAAAGTAGACATGATTAGTTACAAGATTCTCACTTTATCCATGAAAGAGAGCTGCACCTCTATCACTGTACCCGCTATGTAGTTTTATAGGTTTCTTTTTTCATCATACATGTAATACCTACACATACCTGCAGAGACATTTTTACTTCTTCCCTTCTGATCTGGATGACTTTTCTTTCTTTTTCTTGCCTATTGTTCTGGCTAGGACTTTCCAGTGCAATGCTGAATAGAAGTGAGAGTGGGCACCCTTGTCTTGTACCTAGTCATAGTGGGAAAGCTTTGAACATTTCACCATGAGTAAGATGTTGGCTGTGGTTTTGTCATATATGGCCTTTATTATGTTGAGGTACATTCATTCTCTACACAATTTGTTGAGAGTTTCTATCACGAAAGGATGTTGAATCTTGTGAAGTGCATTTTGAGCATCTATTGAAATGAACATATGATTTCTATCTATTAATGTGGTATATCACATTTATTGTTTTCCATTGCTTCCCAGGAATAATTCTACTTGATCATGGTGTATGAGCCTCTTAATGTGCTGTTGAAATCAGTTTGCTGATATTTTGTTGAAAATGTTTGCATCCATGTTTATGAGAGGTATTGGCCTATAGTTTTCTTTTTATTGCTGTGTCTTTATCTGGCTTTGGTATCAGGATAATTCTGGCCTTGTAAAATGAGTTTGGGAGTGTTCTCTCTTCAGTTTTTGAAAGGGTTTGAGAAGGATTGGTGTTAATTCTGCTTTAAATGTTTGGTAGAATTTACTGGTGAAACCATCTAGTCTTGGGCTTTTCTTTGGTGGGAGCTTCTTGATTACTGTTTCAATCTCCTTACTCACTATCTGTTTATCCAAATTTTCTGTTTCTTCATGATTCAACCTTGGTAGGTTGTATATAGGTTGGTTTTATATACTCACCCTCCTGGGTGTGTCAGAGGGTTCCATGGAGGACTGCTCTTTTCCTCCTTTCATTCGAAGTTGTTAACTATATCAGACATTTAAAAAGGGGGCATAAAACATATCCTCCCCAGAATCACTACACAGGGCACAGCTAGAAAACAGGACCAACACCGCGGAATCTCCATATGTGACCCTGACTGAGAATGTCCTCCCCCTAGAGATACCTGCTCTCCTGATACTATAATAATCATCCCCTTGCCTTTACAGTTATACAGTCTATTTAGATGTCTTTAAATAAATGAAGTATTCGTCAGTTGGCCCAGCTTTGGAACTTTTTCTTAAAGTTCTTCCAAATTCTGCTTCTTGCTTCTTTGCTCAATATTGTGTTTGTGAGATTCAATGATGCTGATGCATATAGCTGCAGTTCATTAATTTTCACTGTTGTATTTCATTGTAAGACTATGCCATAAAGTATTCATTCAGTCCATGATGGACTTTTGGGTTATGTCAAGTTCTGTTTTGTTTTGGCTTTAATTTTTACTGGAGTAGAGTTTGCAGTGTTGTGTTAGTTTCAGGTATACAGCAAAGTGAATCAGTTATATATACATCCACTCTTTTTTAGATTCTTTTCCCATATAGGCCATTACAGAGTATTGAGTAGAGTTCCCTGTGCTATACAGCAGGTTCTTATTAGTTATCTATTTTATATATAGTAGTGTGTATATGTCAGTCCCAATCTCCCAATTTATCCCTCCCCCCCATCCCCTGGTAACCATAAGTTTGTTTCCTACATCTGTGACTCTATTTCTGTTTTGTAAATAAGTTCATCTGTACCATTTCTTTAGATGCCACATATAAGCGATATCATGTATTTGTCTTTCTCTGTCTGGCTGACTCACTCAGTAGGACAATCTCTAGGTCCATCCATGTTGCTGCAAATGGCATTATTTTGCTCTTTTTTATGGCTGAGTAATATTCCATTGTGCATATATGTATGTATGTATATATATATATATATATATATATATATATACACACACCACATCTTCTTTATCCATTCCTCAGTTGATGGACATTTAGGTTGCTTCCATGTCCTGGCTATTGTAAATAGTGCTGCAGTGAACATTGGGGTGCATGTGTCTTTTGGAATTATGGTTTTCTCCAGGTATCTGCCCAGGAGTGGCATTGCTGGGTCACATGGTTTTGTTTTTAAATGAACATATGCTGCTATGAGCAGTCTTGTTCTTGCCTTCTGGTGTTGATTTTTTAAATACAGTATGAAAAATATTTGTGCCTGTTATTTTATTTTTTGCTTTCAATTTGTTCCATCATCTAAGTTTACTTTTCTCTACTGTCTTGCCTTCTTTTGGATTGACATTTTTTTTCTCGTTCTACTTTTTCTCCTTTCTAATTTGAAAGTTATATGCTGTATTCTGTAAGGGAACCCTAGAAACTTCAAGGTAATACTTATAAAAGTTGAATGTTAATAAATATCTTTACCCTTCTCCTAAGTTATATACCATGTAGTTCTGTGTTTTAATTCTACTTTTAAGCTTCAAAAGATATTATTATATTATTTTATTTAGTCTGATTTGTCTAAATATACCTCCATGTTCCAATTTTTTGTCCTCCACATTCCTTGTATCTCTGACCTTCATCTGCTATCTCTTTCCCAACCACTAGTTTGTTCTCTATACCTGTGTCTTCTTTTTTAAAGAAGAATAATACATTTGTCTAATAAATCTGTGTAAAGTGTTTTTCTTTTGTTGTTGTTGTTGTTGTTTTTGCTGTACGCGGGCCTCTCACTGTTGTGGTTTCTCGCATTGTGGAACACAAGCTCCGGACGCGCAGGCTCAGCGTCCATGGCTCACGGGCCCAGCCGCTCCGCGGCATGTGGGATCCTCCCGGATCGGGGCACGAACCTGCGTCCCCTGCATCGGCAGGCGGACTCTCAACCACTGCGCCACCAGGGAAGCCCTGCCCTCATTCTTAAAAGTACTTTTTATGGTTA